CCCCCTAAAAAGGCTCTATTACTGCAAATGTCTACTAGCAACAAGGGAGCATTTCTTTTCCTATCTTTGCCAGCAGGAATTACTGTTCTTTTTTAACCCTTCCTTGATAGATATGGACTGTTCGTTGTTACATTTATTAGCATTTCTCTGAATAGTGGAAGATTTGAGTACCTTTTCCTATGTGCTTGTTGGCTATTTAGATTTGTTCTTCTGTGAATCACCTAGTCCTATCCTTTGTCTATTTTTTCATTAGGCTCCCTTTGTCTACTCAGTATGCAAAAGTCTGGTGAATATTATCAAAACTCTGTTATTTTTAAAAAATATTTTATTTATTTATTTGAGATAGAGAGCCAGCACATGAGTGGAGGGTGGTGCAGAGAGAAAGGGAGAAGCAGGCTCCCCACTGTGCAGGGAGCCTGATGTGGGGCTCCATCCCAGAACTCTGGGGTCATGACCTGAGCCAAAGGCAGACACTTAACTGACTGAGCCACCCAGGCAGACACCCAACCCTGTCATTTTTATTTTTTCCCCAAATTTAAAATTTGCCTGTTTACTTCTTTTGTAGTATTTTTGCTATAAGGTTTTTGTAATTTCAATATATCTTTTGTGGCTTTTGGTTTCCAGTGTTGGTTTAAAAGATCCAATTTCGGACCTTTCAAATGATTGTTGATTTATAATTTCCTGTTTCTTTTTCTAGAATTAGAAAAAATAATTAGTACAGGTATGTCAAATTGTCTTCATTTATTTTCTGTAACTAATTAACATGGAAAATTTAATACTCTTTCTTTTACCTTTGTGACTCCTTCAGCTTCTCATTTTCTTTCATTCATCTAAAAATGAATATTATAGTCATGACAACAGATGCTGTTGAATGGCATCTACATTTACCCATGTTCAGACAGCAATTTATTAAAAAAAGAGCAATTTATTTTAAAATGGGCTGAACTGCCCCACTACAGAAAAAAGGTCTGATTAAAATGCTGTTTTTATTGAGTTTAAAGTTAACATGCTTTTAAAACTATTTTAGTGAAGATATTTGAACTATTTAATAGTTAGATGAGTTGATCTCATCTTCTACTCAGGACATGGACTACTTTCCTCTATTAACATTTATTACTTCCCTTCCAAATAATCACTTGTATTATTCTAAAGCATTAGAGATGAACAGTTTTTGTCATTGTATACTGCAGCAAAGTAAGTCTTTCATCTTCATAGCTTTACCCTAGTGATATAGAAACGCCTTTCTTAAGATGTGAAAAACAACCATAAGAGAAGTTATGGCTAGTGAGATTTTGTCTTCCTCTCTTGTAATTGCACCTTGTATCATTTGCTGTCCTCAAATTGGAGACCACAGTCAGCACTAATAAGATTACTATAGGTAGCAAATGTCTGTGACTAGTGAGTAAAGGGTGATTTTGATTGTTGCTGGCACAAAAGAGGTGAACAAAAGATAGAAGGGACACAGGAAACATGTAAGGAAAATAAAAGGGAATCTTGATATGAGAGGAATGCTTGGCTTTTCTCAGGCACATTCCGGGACACAAGGATCTACTCCTGAGCACAAAAGGCAGGGTGTTCATGCCACAAAGTCTATTTTATTGTGGGTTGTTTTTTTTTAAAGATTTTATTTATTTATTTAAAGAGAGGGTGTGCTCGTGCAGGGGGAGAAGCAGAAGACTAGAAGGGGGAAAGACTCTCAGGCAAACTCCCCACTGAGTGCAGAGCCTGACACTGGCTCAATCTCATGACCCTCAGATCAAGACCTGAGCTGAAATCAGTCGCTTAACCGACTGAGCCACCCAGGGACTCCCCCCCCCCCGCCCCCGAAATCTCTTTTAGAAAGAAAAGGCCAGCTTTTAAAGTATAATAGCTTGGGAAAAAAAAGTTCTGTGAGCACTACCCTACTAAAAGCAAACTTGAGTTTTCATAGTAGCAGACAATTTTTGATGATCTTAGAAAAATACGGGTTTCTTTAAGACTGTTTCACTTTCTGAAGGAAATAATGCTTATCTTAGTTACAGTCCCCCCACAGATGATTCTAATCAATGTGACAGAGAAGTTCAGGTATGTATGTGTATTTTTATAGAATTATAAGTAGTAATACATTTTTGTGCAAATGTTTAATATTAATATAATACTATTAATATATCCTGTTTATTAGATCTTCAAAGGCAACTGGTATAAAATCATATTAGTGCTGACTGTGGTCTCCAATTTGAGGACAGTAAATGGTACAAGGTGCAATTACAAGAGAGGAAGACAGAAAATCTCACTAGTCATAACTTTTCTGGTGGTTTTTCACATCTTAAGAAAGACTGTATGCGTTTCTGTATCACCAGGGTAAAGTTATGAAGAGGAAAGATTTGTTTGTAGGTACTTTCAAATAGGCATGCCTGCATTTTGTGAGAAGAAGCTACTCTCCCCTGAGGCCTCCTGATGAATCAAAGACAAAGTCCCATCAACATTCCAAACGTTAAGAATGATGGTTATGACCACTGTTTCCATTATTCAACACACCACCCCAAAGCATGATGGCTTAAAATAACCACCTTTTTTTGTTGTGTTACTTACATGCTCTGGGGAGGCTGAGCTCAGCTGAGGGGTTCTGGTGATCAGGCTTGGGGTCCCTCATGAGGCTGCATTCAGATGGGAGCATGGCTGTGACTGGAATGTCCTCTCAATCCTCCAAGTAAGACTTGGCAAACCATTACACTCTGCCCCAGGCCAAATCCGACACACAGCCTATTTCTGTTCTGCCGCAGGCTAAGAATACTTTTTACATTTTTAAATGGTTGGGAAGAATCAAAAGGAAAATGTTTCATGATGTGAAAAATACTGAAATTCAAATTTTGGTGTTCATAAAATTATATTGGAGCCCAGTCATGCTCATTGTTTACATCTTGTTTACAGCTGCTTCTGCACTGTAGTGGTGGAGCTGAGCAGTTGCAACTTTTGGTTGCCACATCAGAATTCCTTATACTTCTTTCTAGTCTTTACCAAAATTCACATTTTAAAAATAAGTGCTTGGAATGAAAAGAATTATAACTGTTTAACTGTCAGAACTACCTTTCTTTGCTACTGCAGTGCAGCTAATATCTATTTCCAAACCAAATTATAAGCATGCGGCTCATACCCACCAGCTCCAGCTCCAGCTCCAGCATGGTCACTGGGCATACATTTGGAGGGCTGCCATTATTTTATTTCAAAGAGGAGAAAAAAGGGGCGCCTGGGTGTCTGTCAGGCATCTGCCTTCAGCTTAGGTCATGATCTCGGGGCCCTGGGACGGAGCCCGACTCATTGTGTGTGGGGGTGGAATCCCTGCTCACTGGCGAGTCTGCCTCTTCCTCTCCCTGCCCCCCTGCTCATGTACTCTCTCCTTTGTGCACAGTCTCTTAAATAAGTAAATAAAATCTTAAAAAAAAAAAAAAGAAATGAAATATTTGCTGATGTTTAAAAAGGGGAACTGGAAACAAATATAATTCTGCCTTTACAATGTGAACCCCAAATGCCTTTCTAAACAGTAGCTGGAAAATGATGAACATGGATAGATACAATCCTTGCCCTTAAAGAGCTCCCAGTCTGGCAGACAGTTGGACAAGAAAATAGTTTGATGCAGGAATTAGTAACTGACCTTTGATGAGCATAAGTCTGATGGCAGCACAAAAAGGAGGCATCCAACCTGGTTAGGAAGGTCTTGGATGACTTGCTAAGGGAACTGATGGGAAGGAAGACAAATTGGATTGGTCCAGAAGTCTTCCCAGGTGCCCACCTTGGGCCTGATGGAGAGGTCACTGCTTGTTCCCCCAGCAACCTGCCACAGCTGATAATGCAGTGACCTTTACTGGCATACTCGTTCATCTTCCTCCCCAAACTGGGAAATTCCTTTCAAGGCATAAACTGTGTTGTTATTGCATCTACAGTGCCTGCTGTACATTTATAGTGGCTCTGCATAAGAACGATCTGATAAATGAATATGCACAGGTTTCTAGGATGATGAAAATATCCCTTCTCTAAGATAGGTTAATGTTTAAAGACTGTCATGCAGGTCTATGCCACGATATATTACCAAAAAAATCTGTACTGGTTAGTGTTTCAAGTGCCAATACCAAGCATTGGAGGCAGGAACAGGGTCAGGAACCATGAGGATGCAAAAGCAGGTAAGACATAATCACTGTTCTCTATAAACGGAGGTCTCATAATCCCTGTCTACATCTAAACCAGAATAGCCTTTCCTTTGCTTACAGTTTGGAAGTCCACAAATCTCTTTTGAATAAAGGCCACACTTAAAAAAATAAAAAAAGGAAAACCTTGATCAAGTTAGTAAGAAGGCTAATCTTTCTTGAAATATTTACGTATTTTCCCCTTCATTTTAAAACTAGAGGGAGGGTAGCCCAGGTGGCTCAGTGGTTTAGCGCCGCCTTCAGCCCAGGGCCTGATCCTGGAGACCTGGGATCAAGTCCTGCGTCGGGCTCCCTGCATGAGCCTGCTTCTTCCACTGCCTGTGTGTCTCTGCCTCTCTCTGTGTCTGTCTCTCATGAATAAATAAATAAAATCTTAAAAAAACAAAAACAAAAACAAAAAAACCAGAGGGAAATGGAAGGAACTGAGAATTTCTTCCTGAATTTTATCTTACCTTTTCCTCACTAGTCATCCTTAGCACCTTTCCTGGCATGTAATATATATGTATAATGAACAGATGTTTACAATAATAAAATTGTTCTTTCCTATATATAGCAGTATCACTTAATATTTGCCACTATCCAGGAAAAAAAAGCTTCTATGCATATCCTCTCTAAAATTACCACAAAGTATCTTCAAGATTCTATATTTAATGCCAGGGATGCCAAGATGTTTAATTTAAAACCATTACCTAATTTCTCTATAGCATGTTGGATTTTAAAAATATCTCATTTTCAAAGTAAGATGGTTTAAGATCTTAAGGACCCATATGCAGTGACCCTTCTATGATGTTTGTAGGGAAAAATGAACCAGAAACTGTATAGGTACAGTATTGTTTATTATAAACAATCATATAGCAGTATATAAGTGTGCATTTGAAGGATAACTGAAGCCTAGATATGATCATCAAAAGCATTACTTGAATCGAAAATAGTTCCTTTTTTGTTGGTTTGTGTTACATTAATTTGAACATGTGCCAGGATCCTCTAGCCTTGTCATACAGTTCAACTGCTAAATCATAACAGGGGAAGACAAATTTGGAATGCATGTTATATTTTGCTTTAGTTGTTGAATATATATACCAGATATTCAGGACATATTCAAAGTTAAGCAGGTGTTTAAATCCTAGCAGGTTATATTTACAAAATGCTTTTTGTTGTTGCTTCTAATCCCTTTGTTATTGCTTGTAATCCCTTAGAAGACAATGAAAGGGGGGATTCTAAGCGCTAGTGCTATGTTGTTCAATTTTCCTGATTTATACTGAATGTAAAAAAACAAAAACAAGTGACATCTTTATAGTTCCAAAGCACTGGCAGATAGTAAAATATAGTTTAAAACAAACTTCTCACATCTCAGTTTTTAAACAGGAAAGAACAACACAACAAATGTTCTGGGGTTAAGAGCAGGCCAAAACATCATTCTCTACTGCACAACCCTTGTCCATGGTAATCTTAAAAATGTTTGGCATTGTTGGTGCCTTTAAATGGCTTAGCATGTCCACTTTGCTAGTTATCCTATAAAAGAATGCTATTACATTTTTTTTTATTGTCCATCTCAAGGAATGAATGCTAAATGAGCAAATGTAGAAGTCTGAAGGCAAATGCTGCATTACAACTTTGGACAATTCTTGCCAGCAAAAATGTTAAAAGTCTGAAGAGAACGTGACTAGTTACGGTGACTGAACGGTTAACTTTTTTGAATTTCACTGTAGCCTAATGTGGACTTTTTTGAGATAGGACTGGTGATGATGCAAATGTACCACTTTAATCATTTGTTTTTCAAAGGAATAACACAGGCTTGCCGGAATATTTTGTCTTGGTTTCCCAAACCTGCATGAACATCCAGGTTTGTTTATTTTTTTAATGTAATTTATAAGCAATCAGTTACAATGGATTCTGCAAAGGTATAAGGTTATCAGAAATTTGAGCATTTGTGAAGAGATCAAGAAAGCTATGTTAGGTCTCTGGAGCAAAAACCATGTGTCCTTGATATTCTCACAGACCTGTACTCATATGAGGAAGACTCACCATATTTATGCCTTTTCCAAGAAAAGGGGAAATGGGCAAAAACTGGAAAATAAGGGAGTAAGGGGAGAAAACAAACAACTTTGAAGCACTGAAGAAAAATAGTGTGTATCCGAGGAAGACTTCATCCCTTACCTGATTGCTGAGAAGAGAAGGGAAGTAAGTTTCAAAATATAGACAATTAAGAAATCAGTTGTATTTTTTTCAAGCAAAAATAAAGATCGTAGGTTTGGCTTTGTTTGAAAAGTTCTGAAGCATGAAGATGTTTACTAACAGGTTTACTAACAGACTCTCCAGAATCTGGGACTGTCTCTGGTTTACACTTGATTCCACAGTACCTAACACTGTTCCCCGCCATACAGGGGCACAGTACATAGTTGATGAACCAATGGACTACAGGATTTTCTAATCACTAAATGGACCACCTAGTTTTAATGTAGGCTGTACTATTTTCTATTGCATATAGGAAAGTTTCTATTAGATAACACTAGTCCTTACAAGAGGCAACCGTAGGAGCTCACGCAAATATATCTTTTTCACAGGATCATTTCTACCTTGAATACAATTTAATGAGAAGCAACTACTGTGTGCACTAATGCTAAAAAGAGCGGAGATAGGATGCATAAATGAAGAAACCTCTTGGATTACTGAAGTACCATCTGTTACAAGTATAATTACCTTCTTAAGCTATACATTTTTGAGAGGGTGTGAAATATTTCTCGAAGCAGTGCAGTGTTTAGTGGGTGGGGATTTTATATATATATATAAAATTATATATATATAAATATATATTTATATGTAAAAGTACCTAGAAATGTGGGGAATGTTCCTCTCCTCTCTTATCATCCAAGAGTAAATAAGAACAGGTTTTTAATACGTATATATATGTATGTATATATATGTATATATATGTATTTATTTAAATGTCCCACTCTTCAGTACCACTGTTCCCCAGAAATTCTAGGGGTTATGAAATTATTATTTCATTTGGGAAGTTATTTCCAGGTATGAGGCTTCAGCTTTATAAGAGGCTACCAGATGTGCTCAGCAGACCGAGACACTAAGTTAAATAACTCCTAGATTTGACCCCAGCAATGTGTCCAGATTTTCTCAAGGCTTCACCACTGTTTTAGTCATCTGTAAATAGTATGTGCCAACATGTAGGGAAATGTGCCCTTGCTTCATAAAGTCTTTTAATGGGAATGTGAGAAGGTGTGAATAAACACAGGATGCTTTTGTCCAACCCTCTTATTTTACTGCTTCATCCCCATCCAGAAATTACGCACACGGTCCTCCAGCTCCCTGTGCAGACTCAGAAGTCTGCCAGACTGCCTGACTGGAAGAACCAGGAAAGCAGGGCCCTGGTTCTCCTACATGGAAAGCAAGTGTCTCCCTGGGTGATTCTTGGACTATATTCTGGTCTTATTTTGTAATTTGAGAATATACCTCATTTCATGCTATTTTCATATGAATCTTCCCATGTATTAGACTCTTTTTTTTTTTATAGTGGCAGATCTTGAAACAACATTGACTCCCAGCTTCACAGTCTCTTTTCCAATCACAGTTTAAATTTATCTTAAATGTACCATTAATATTAGCACAATAGTCCAGCTATAGGTATTTCAACTTGAGAAATAAAATAATTTATGTGACTCATCTTACATAACTGATTTTACAAGCTTGGGTTTTTTTTCCCTTCTTGCCAATAGCACTGAAAGTGAGATTGTTTAAGTGATATGGGTTTGGTTGCTTTCTTTTATCCGAAAGTGTTACTTGCTTTAGTGCTGCTAGTACCCTGATTTGCAATATATAAACAGTTTTGATATTTTTCTGGTAGGCCACACAACATGCCTTATAATGACATGGCTGACTAATGCTGCCTTTTATTCTGCCAACATTTTTCAAATTCTATTGACACAGTTGCCTTTTCTAATCACGTTGTACTGGCACCAGGTTAACTAAAAATTCTAGCACAAAAAAACTGGTGATAAAAATATGAACAGTATATATTATATGTATTTACATATGTACTTAGAAACTTCTGTTAGTTGCAAATCTGAAATGGTATAAGCCACTGCCTGCAATAGCATCTATTCTATAGAAATGTAGATTAAGACATAACGGGCTGTTAAGACACTGAAGAAATCGGGTTATGTGGAGAACCCATCTGGGTGAGAACTTTGTCCAACCACTGCAGTGGTCCGTGAAGATGAATCTCAATCCAGCAGGGGGTGCTCGTGACATCCTGGCGATGATACTCCGCTCCCCAGCCCTGAAAAGGAAGAACAGAGCCAAGAGTGATGATGTCTGACTTTCCTGTCAACCTCCAGAGATGTGAGCCAAGCATCAGTGCACACAGAGCCCATGCACCAGAGCAGCTCCTGAAACCTGAGAGAGCATGCACTCTGTCTGCCCTCCTGTAAGTACAGGACAATTTTTGCATCGAGACATCCTAAGATGAGTCCAAATCAGAAGATTCCCTCTGGGCTCACAGCTAAATACATGGACATAAAGATGGTCTGGTCTCTAATCACATCAGAAACACTGGCAAATCATTTTTCTCTTCTACAAGGAAAGGAGCCTGACCTTATGTTCAACCCCTTACTGCTGAAGACAGTGTTTTACACAAAACAGATGCTCACTACAGACCAGTGACTGGATCTGAAAGGCGTAAAGACAGAGTGAGGGTGCTTTTGATTATTCAGGGTTGGTTAACAAAACTTGTTTCTTCTCTATCTCTTTCTGGCTCACTTTTATTACCATTCATAGGAGAGGCTGTAAAAACAAAAAAAAATTGTCTATCTTTTTTCTCTATTATACATCAGTGACAAATTACTTTAAAGATGAAGAGAGAGGGATGCCTGGGTGGCTCAGTGGTTGAGCGTCTGCCTTTGGCTCAGGGTATAATCCCAGAGTCCTGGGATGGAGTCCTGCACTAGACTCCCCACAGGGAGCCTGCTTCTCCACCCTCTGCCTATGTCTCTGCCTCTTTCTGTGTGCCTCTCATGAATAAATAAATAAAATCTTTTAGAAAAATGAAGAGAGATCAGAAATCCCTGTTATTGGGAACATTATCAGTAGTACTGAAAAAATTGGATCTCAACACAACCATGCTGCCTGATGACACCTTACATTCGTGACTGCAAGCCTCAAGGGCACCTCTGATGCCACCTGCAACTGAAAGACACTCCCCCAGTCCCTGTGCTCTCCGACTACCCCCCCCATGCCCCAAATGACTGCTCACTCCTTCTCCTTTTCCCTAAAATCTCTAACACCTACTCCCCAGTCTGTTTGTGAATGATAATCTTTATTTTTAAACTTTATTTGAATTCAATTTAGTTAACATATTGTGTATTATCAGTTTCAGGGGTAGAATTTAGTGATTCATCAGTTGCATATAACAGCCAGTGCTCATCACATTGCGTGCCCTCCTTAATGCCCATCACTCAGTTACCCCATCCCCCCACCCACCTCCCCTCTAGCAACCTGTTTGTTTTTTAAAGTTCAGTGTCTCTTATGATTTGCCTCCCTCTCAATTTTCATCTTATTTTAACGAAGCATGAAGCAATCAGAAGAGTTTCTATAGCATCTGCACCAAAACACTCAGCCTTTTTTACTTCTCACTACAGATTATCTGTGCTTCCAAATAAGCCAGTCCATCTAGTGGTGCATAAGACTCAACTGCCTTCCCAAGGACATCATTCCAGCAAATCTCCCCACTCTCTCCTACAATATTTTTTTTTTTCTGTTGGATCATTCCCATCAACACAGGAACATGCTGAAATATCTCTCATCTTCAAAATACTTCTTTTGGCTCTAACACTCCCACTACTTACTGCCCTATATCTTTGACCCCTTTTCTAGCAAAAACTCTCAAATGAGTTGTCCAAACAGGCTGTTATCAATTCCTCTCCTTCCATTCCTTCTTAATTCCATTTTGATCAGCATTTCAACCCCAGCCTTTAACAAAACTATTCCTGCTAAGGTAAAAAAAGACCTCTATATGCTAAAACTAATGATCCACTCTCTCAGTCTTTGTGTTACTTGGGCAGTATGTGATTTAGTCCATCCCCTCTCCTCACCATACTTCCTTCTTTTGGTTTAACGAGCACCTAACTTTCTAAGTTTTACTTCTGCATTGGTTACTTTTTCTCAGTGTTCTTTGCCAGTTTTCTCTTTTCCCCCATCTTTTAAGGTTGAAGTGTCCTAGGGCTCCGTCCTAGAACCCCTGTTAAATTCAAACTGTTGGCAATTCCATCCCAGCTCATAGATAAATAATGTGCAGATGCTGACAATTTCTAAATTGACATCGTCAGCCCAGTCCTCCTCTCTCCCTAAATCCAGACTCGTACATCTAACTGCTCAGCACCTCCACTTGGATGTGTGTTGGACATCACAAAGTTATTCTAAGACTGAAGTCTTAATCTTCTATCTACACCTGACCCACCTGCATTTTCTCCAACCCAGGTGGAGGTAACTTCATCTCTTTACTCCTTTCTTATACCCCACAAGGAATAACCTGCACAACTCAGAATCGCTCCCCTTCTTACAACTTCTATAAGAACGCTCCTAGTGGGAGCAACCATTATCTCTCATCTGAACACTGCAATGGCCTTCTAGCTGGTTTCTCTGCTTTCCTCCTTGCCTGTATAATACCTGCAATCCATGTAGCAGCTACAGTGATCCTTTAAAAATATAAGTCAGATCATGAAATTCTCTGCTCAAATCCCTGCAGGTGCTCCCCATTTTGTTAGAGTAAAAGCCGAAATCCTTGTGGTGAATCTCACCCTCCACCCCCACTCCCAGCTCCCTGGCTCACAGGGACCCTGGCCACCCTGCTCTTACAAATGTCATACAAATGTCAAGGGTATGCTCTTGCAGTATTGTTTGCCCTTCCCTCTGCACCTACTGCTTCCCCTCCAGATACTCTTATGACTTAACTCCTTTGTCTCCTTCAAGTCCCTGAGGCCCACTCTGCCCATCATTTTAAAACTTGCAACGTACCCCTCCCCCAGCACTCTAATTCCCCACAGCCTGCTCTAAGTTTCTCTTTCCATTCACGTTCTTTATTATAGCTATTGTTTAACATCTGTCTCTCCCTCCTGGAATATTGATTCCATTAGGGCAGAGATGTTGACTGATCACTGATGTACCTCAATGTCTAGAATGGTGCCTGGTGTGACACATGGTAGGTGCCAATAGTATCTTATTGACTGAGTCCTAGACTCAGTAAAAATCAAAGCTAAAAGATGCCTTAAAGATGATCTAGTCCATCACCCCTCAGTCATAGCCACCAGTGTTTAGTCATGTAATTTCTTTTTTAATTTTAGTAATGTATTTTATTCAATTCAATATATCTAAAATATTATATCAATACATAATTGGTATGATATTACTAATGAGATATTTTACATTATTTTTATTTGTACTGCCTCCCACCAGCCCTGGTTTAGTTGAGATATATTGATAGACACTGTGTGTTAGTTTTAGGTGTACACATAATGAGTGGATATATGCATACATTGCATGATGATCACCACAATACGTTTAGTTAACTTCTATCACCTCATATACTTACACATTTTTTCCTCCGTGATGAGAACTTTTAAATTTCTTTTAAACTAATCAGTTGTGTTTTCTGTAAATTATATAGCTTTATGAAATAGATCTAGCTGATCTTAGGGCAATCAGATATGCTGGGTTATATGACAGTGAAATAATTACTTCTGATGTATTGGCATTTCATCCTCATTTTAAAAACATGAACCTGGAAAAAATAACTCTTGAATCAAATGATTGTTCATTAATGGCAATTCAATGCCCTCTGCTGGCTGCAAAGCATCAGAACATTTAAAATGATTTCTAGGTATTTGCTAATTGCTTTACAATATAAAAATGCTTTTAAAGCCTAACAGTAAATTTGAGTAAAGCTGCTTTGTCATCATGAAAGAAATGGTTTCAAAAAGCCATTTTTTAAGTTGGAAACTATATTCTTGATAGCTATTTTTACAATAATTACTAGAATTAGAAATACAATAAAAATAAGAGTATAGGGGATCCCTGAGTGGCTCGGCAGTTTAGCGCCTGCCTTCAGCCCAGGGCGTGATCCTGGAATCTGGGGATCAAGTCCCGCATGGGGCTCCCTGCACGAAGCCTGCTTCTTCCTCTACCTGTGTCTCTGCTTCTCTCTCTCTGTGTGTCTCTCATGAATAAATAAATAAAATCTTTAAGAAAAAAATAAGAGTATAGAAAAATAGGACAATTATTTTTCATGGTAATTTCAAAGGATTAATAAATCTTACATTGAAAACAACCCAGAACAAGCCATACTGACTTCTTGGATGGATATGCGACAATGTGAAAACTGTCACATGTAACCAGATAGTTTGATAAATAAACTCAGATATTCAAATATTAGAATTATCTGCAAGTGCTTTGCAAGAGATGAAACAGCCAAAGATTTTAGCATGCAAATCCAGTTGGTTGTCTTTCCCACTAACTTCCTCAGTTCTCCAAAGCCTTCAGATCAATGTTAGTAAGATCTAATTTGAGAAATTCAACAAATATTCATAAAGAGAACATCTACTAAGTCTCTCAGAGTTAATCACACTCACCCTAATATTTCTATCCCAATTTGTGCCTCATAACAGCACTTAATGTACACTACATTGTATTAGAGCCACTACTGTCTATTTTGTAGCTTATTTATAAATATTATCTCCTCTGTCAGCCTGTATGCTTGCTAAGAGTAAGGGCAATGTTTTAATTCAGATAAATTTAGCCACATTTATTGAGAGACAACAGTGCTCTTAGCAATGTGAGAGATTAAAAAAAAAAGCCTCTGTGGCATGAAATCCTATAAAATTATCATTGTCACTTTATCTTCTGCATAAAAAAATCAGATTACTACCTTTACTGGTTATTTCTTCAAAAGTGAAATGTTTAAGAGTGTTCTTGTAACTGCTAAACAAGAGAGTTGACCCTCATGGAGGAGCTCTTCCCAAAACCAACTAGAGTTCCAAAGGAAAATCCCAAAACAACAATAAGAAAAACACCCTGTTGCCTACTTGTACTGGCTGTATAGCTGCCACATCACCCAAAGAATGCTTTTTGGTTCGTCTTATTTTGTTTTTTTTCACTTTGTCTTAATATCTGAAAGCAAGCACTCCTTACCTTAACAAAGCTCATGCGGATAGTGCACATCTTGGTTAACTCATACACGACTTCGAATCCGTGGTGAACTGACTGAGCGAGCAGCTGTGCGAAGAGCTGGTTGTTGAAGATCTTCAGACTGCAGCCACTGGGGATCTTGCACACAGTGGCTGGGTGGAAGCCATGCTGATAGTTGCAGTTCCGGCTCTGCACAAAGATGCTGCTGTCACTCACACACTCGGCGTACACCTCTCCCCCAACGTAGTACAAATGCACACCTACGAGGTACAAACAGGATCCTCAAGCACCAGCACCGTATTTAGTTTTAGGTTAACACCATTCCCTTGTTATTGCGACCTCAAGGTGTGTGACTGATTACTGGGAAGTTAATTTTAATATCACCAATCATGGTAAGAAGTGATCTACATGCCAACTTGTTCTAATTATAGTCTGTTGAGTTTTCTCCCATGAGTCCATTTAAAAGTGAACTGTAACCCATGTTTACAATGGTTGCCGAGGCTCTTGTGTGCCACTCCTTCCATCACTCTTAAATTCCTGTTTTTTCACTCTGAAAGTAGGCTCTTGGAGGGCCTGGGCGGCTCAGTGTGAGCATTTGCCTTTGGCTCAGGTCGTAATCCCAGGGTCCTGGGATCGAGTTCCGCATCAGGCTCCCCAGGGGAGCCAGCTTCTCCCTCTGCCTGTGTCTCTGCCTCTCTCTCTGTGTGTCTCTCATGAATAAATAAATAAATAAAATCTTAAAAAAAACAGGCTCTCATAATATTAGATGCAAAGTAAATACACAATTCAGAAAACATCACAGAGTCCTTCAAGCACGTGTATCAATAAAAAAATAAAAATTGGGCACCAATAGTATCATGGAAATGTCACTGGAGTGCATACACTAAACCTGCTTCAGAGGTAACAATAAATGCAGTTTACATTTTATTTTAACAATTATGAATCCATTCCTCTTAACAAATACCTTAAAGAGATCAATTCCATTTAAAAACTTGCCCCCTACTATGATAGATAACAGTATGTATTTTACTTAGGAACAACAAAATTCTTGCCACCTTTTTAGCTGTAAAAACTCACAATCAAAATGTAGCTTATGCTACTTTATCTCACACTCTGGGACTTAAAAAGCAAAACACCATCCTGAGATTAGTGCTGCCCACACTAATTTTCATTCCAGATTAAATCTGAGTTGATTCTCTTCCTCCAAGTGTCTGGGTTTAAGACCTAATATGCACTATGGGAAGGGACTGGGATTAGATAAAATGAAGAAATTCTAGCCTAGTAAATATTAAATACCAGCACAATTTTCAGTAGTTCTAGCCTTGTGAATATTAAATACCAGCACAGTTTTCCTTAGTAGAGGAAAACTCCACAGTTAATCTTTCAGCAGAAACAAAATTCTCCAGCATCATGTGTGAACGTGACTGTAAATACAATCACCATGTGGTCACAGGGGGTTCACAGAAATAATCCAGGATACACTTCGAGTGATGTATTTTGGATCTCCTCAAACTGCAAATACTCATTTTTCAATAACAGAATTTACAGACATCCAAGGAGTCCTGCAGAACTGTGCATGTAGGAAACCAGAGCTGGCCAGCTGCTCAGTGCCTCCATCAGGTTCCAAGGGGCACTTGTAGCGACTAGGCAATAGCTCTGACTGCCTCCCAGCATATTGTTTCCTTTTCCCATCTCCTCTGCCTTAACACAAGTTAAGAAACGAATGGTTTTCAGCACTCCGTATTCCAGCCACATGGCTGAAGAAACCGCTCAGGAGTCACAAAGCTAAAAGCCCAGCATGTGATGCTCAGTCCCAGGTTCCCCTTTCACCACCTACTCTGGACGGGCCTCCCTCCTCTTTTTTTCCTCAGCTTTCAGATTGCTCTTTTTTCTCGTGTCCTTCTCACTCTCCCTGAACGGCCTGGGGTCTGGCACCCAGGGCCCCGGCTGTGAGTAGGCATGATGATGGTCCTCTTGGGCTGGGCTGTAGTCACCTGGCTGCAGGGACGTGGTGGGGGGGAGGCAGGGGCAAACACAAGCAGACCTTCTTTGCCAGGCTCTGCGAGCAGTCAGGGAAGGCCTGCCCCTGCGGTGGTTGTGGTTTTTCAAAAGAGGGTGAGCCAGGAAGGGAGCCAGAGAATGAGATTGCCAAGGGTTCAGTATGTATTTGAACTGAATGACTTTCAAATTTATAAACCTCCTAGAACCTACTAAGGAGAATGGATAGGATTTTTGTTATCTGACTCTGGTCTTTACTTCGAGGATGATTTTCAATCCTGTTGAAGTGTTATCCACAACCACAGCACAGTTGGCAGTGTAAGGAAAGCAAAGAAGAGCAGGGGCTGGCAGCAGTAGTTTGATGTTCTGAGCAAAGAGAGAGGGCAGAGCGAACAGGATGAGCACCCAGAGGCCTGAGTTGGCTCAGAACAGCAAGGCGAGGGTGGAATTGGACCCCAGGGTGAAGGAGACTGGGCTTTGGCATCTAAAGAAGGCAAATAGGTAAATGATTTAATTTACATCCACTTGATAGGCCAAAAACAGTGGCTTTAAAGGACTTGTATTTTAGATTCAAAATCTCCATAGAGAACAATGAGCAATAAGGATGTCCAAAGAAAGTGCTTCCTGAGATGCCAGAGAGGACCGGGGCAGTGTGTCCTCAGGCAAGCCCTTCTCATATCTCTTGGGCTGCATCCCTCTATATCCGGCCTTCCCATTGGTGGTGAATGCTGCTCACGTTTTATGGGATGAGGGAGTGTGGAGTCCTGTGTCGTGGTTACTTAGGACCAGAGACACCATGGGTTTGATTTGGATCTGCTAAGTAAGGAAGCAAGCATGGTCCCCTTTGGTCCTCTCCTATAGACTTGAAAGACAGAGAAATGACAGGAAACACTGGGAAGAATGTGGGTTGCTTAGTTTGGAGAGCCAGTTCTGTGGCTCTGGACCCTAACAGGGAAAAGAGAAAGTCGGAGTCCAAGAGTGTTAGGAATGCACGTGGGTCCCCTGCTGACTGGGAGGGATGGGCAAATACCAGCACAGCAAGCAATCTTGGCTCTTGTATCTTTCATGAATCAATAAATTAAAAATCTTAAAAAAAAAAAAAAAACTGTCCTGCTCAGAGACTGTCCTGCTCAGAGACTCTAATGCCTCTTCATTCCCCCTGCCTTTAGTGCTCTGTCTTCTGCACACCATTTTAAAAACCTGGCTGAATAATTGGAATCATCAAGAGCTTTAAGAAAGTGTGTTTCTGGGTATAATAACGGTACTTTTAGAAATTCCTTACATAGCTATATAAATACTTAAATCTATGAAGAAAGGATATGAAGTCTAAGATTTACTTTAAAACACTCATGAAAAAAATCTTGTGGAGGCACAGAGGAAAAAGAATGCACAGAACATGAATCATCACTGAAGCTGGAGTTGGTGATATGAATATTCATTACGTGATTCTGTCTACTTCTGTATATGGCTAAAATTTTCCAAATTAAAAAATGTTTTGGGTAGCCCAGGTGGCTCAGCAGTTTAGTGCCGCCTTCAGCCCAGGGTGTGATCCTGGAGACCTGAGATCGAGTCCCACGTCGGGCTCCCTGCATAGAGCCTGCTTCTCCCTCTGCCTGTGTCTCTGCCTCTCTCTGTGTTTCTCTCATGAATAAATAATCTTTTTAAAAAATGTTTTAATGCGTGATCAAAAAAGCAACAATGTAAAAGCACTGACTTCCAGATCCATGTCAGGGCTTTGGTTCAGAGGACAGGGCCTCCACAGGATGATGCCTGCAGCTGTGCACTGCATGTACTTCGGCCTTCCAAGATTTCTATCATCGTTATGAAGCTTCTCCAGAAGATGGCAGTAACTTCTCTAGAGAAAGGGACTCCTAATTCATTCACACAAAGCCATCTCTGGGCTGGTGGCAAGGTCAGTCCTCCAAATCTGAATCTGAAAACTTTAAGTCTGTTTAGACAATATGATGAACAAACAGGTTTGGACCCAATTGACTACACTCAACAGCCTGCCTCAGTCCTCACGCTCAGCTGCTCTGCTGGGCCGGGCTGCACCGTGATACTTCTCTCTCAGCACAGCTACAGCAATCCCGGCCTGCCCTTACAGACCCTCCCACCCTCACATGAGCAAGAAAGCCCACTAGAGAGAATTTAGAAAATACAGAGAAGGGCAGCCCCGGTGGCGCAGTGGTTTAGCGCTGCCTGCAGCCCGGGGCGTGATCCTGGAGACCCTGGATTGAGTCCCACGTCGGGCTCTCTGTATGATGCCTGCTTCTCCCTCTGCCTGTGTCTCTGCCTCTCTCTCTCTCTGTCTCTATGAATAAATAAATAAAAATCTTAAAAAAAAAAGAAAATTCAGAGACTTAAACTCAGTCACAGTGCACAGCCCAGAAATAATCAAAGCTGACATGTTATATATACCTTTCAGTCTTCTTTCTTTTTTTTTTTTTTTAAGATTTTTAATTTATTGATTCATGAAAGATACAGAAAGAGAGGCCGAAACACAGGCAGAGGGAGAAGCAGGCTCCTCGCAGGGAGACCGATTGGGGACTCAATCCCAGGACCCTAGGATCATGACCTGAGCCAAAGGCAGACGCTCAACCACTGAGCCACCCAGGTGCCCCTCAGTCTTCTCTTTCATGGGTGTGTTTTAAACCTTTCACCCTTCCCCTACTAACAATTTAATTTTATTGTAATAGCCAGGGGATCCTTTTAAATGGAGCATTCAGATCTGTAAACTCCCATGATCTGGTCCTGTCTTCTCTTCTAGACTTTCCCATTCCCTTACTCATTTTATTCTACTCACTCTGGCTCCCCTGCTGTTCTTATAGTATACCAGACAGGCTTCTAAGTGTCTCAATTAATTGACTCCAAGAACAAGTTAACTTATTCACTAAGCTAGGAGGGCATTTTGCTGCAAACTTATTCAGGTAGGTGTTCCAGGAAGCCATGCTGCTCAGAACCAAATGATCCAAGGTCAGTCCCTTGATCTCATAAAAGACTGATAGGTCTTCCTTTAAAAATATTCTAAGCCTTTAGGGAGCTCGGTGCACTCTCCTGCGCTTATGTATACAATGGAATATTACTCAGCCATTAGAAACAACAAATACCCACCATTTGCTTCAACGTGGATGGAACTGGAGGGTATTATGCTGAGTGAAGTAAGTCAATCGGAGAAGGACAAACAGTGTATGTTCTCACTTATTTGGGGAATATGAATAATAGTGAAGGGGAATATAAGGGAAGGGAGAAGAAATGTGTGGGAGATATCAGAAAGGGACACAGAACATAAAGACTTCTAACTCTGGGAAATGAACTAGGGGTGGTGGAAGGGGAGGAGGGCGGGGGGTGGGGGTGAATGGGTGACGGGCACGGAGGGGGACACTTGACGGGATGAGCACTGGGTGTTATTCTGTATGTTGGTAAATTGAACACCAATAAAAATTAATTTATAAAAAAAAAAAAAAATATTCTAAGCCGATCGGGGATCCCTGGGTGGCGCAGCGGTTTAGCGCCTGCCTTTGGCCCAGGGCGCGATCCTGGAGACTTGGGATCGAGTCCCATGTCGGGCTCCCGGTGCATGGAGCCTGCTTCTCCCTCTGCCTGTGTCTCTGCCTCTCTCTCTCTCTCTAATTATTTATCACAAATAAAAAATTAAAAAAAATATTCTAAGCCAGGCGCCTGGGTAGTTCAGTGGGCTAAATGTCTGCCTTTAGTTTGGGTCATGATCCCCGGGGTCCTGGGATCGAGCCCCACATTAGGCTCCCTGCTTAGCGGGGAGTCTGCTTCTCCCTCTCCCTCTGCCACTCCCCCTACTTGTGCACATATTCTCTCTCTCTTTTTCTCTGTGTCAAATAAATAAAATCTTTAAAAAAATATTCTAAGCCAACTTTTTTTTTTTTTTTTTTTGCCATGCTTTATGGTATGGCTCCCCTAAATTTTTTTTTTTCCAAATTAAAGCACTTCCAAAACAGCTTTCTGAGAAAACTGTGACTTTGCCTTGGGGACCACATGGGGGTGGAGTGCCCTTCCATCCAGTGTACACTTAGGTGGACCTCAGGGTTTTCACGAAGGGCCGTCAATCCTAGCCCTTGTTCCTATGGTTTCTTAACTTGGGGATTAGCTCTCGGCCAGTAATGCAGAACCTCCACTCCCCATGTCCTCAGCAGCAGCACTTTCAACAAGCTACCTGCAGAAGATTCAACACTTTTCATATTTGAATTCCATCTTTGGATCAAGTGGCATCAGCAGAAGTCCAAGAGCAGAACAATGTGGAGAGCAAAATTTTTATCACAACCACAAAGCTGACCTTCAGTTGTATTCTCCTTCCCTGATCCCCCCAACCCTCAATTTCTGATTTTCTATTTCTCATTTATCATTTCACTGCAAAGGTTTCCTGTAAGCTACTTCAAAGCCACTATGGAAAAATATAGGATAAAAATAAACAGAAATATCACCAGTAGAGTCAACACCAATGAACACACTCAACCTGTTCCTATCAATGGCTGGTAGGTCTCCTACCAAAGGAGACATTTAAGAGGTATTTTAGGAAAAATATTAGAATGTATCACCAAGTGCAACAATGAATCTCCCCTGGAAATTTGAAATAAAAGGTTTGCAGGGGCACCTGAGTGGCTCAGTGGTTGAGCATCTGCCGTCAGCTCAGGTCGTGATACTGGGGTACTGGGATCGAGTCCCACATTGGGCTCCCCGCAGGGAGTCTGCTTCTCCCTCTGCCTATGTCTCTGCCTTTCTCTGTCTCTCTCATGAATAAATAAAATCTTAAAAAAAAAAAAGAAAGAAAAGATTTGCAGCTATCTTCCTGAGGTGGTCGAAGGGCTGGATGGGGAGAGAAAAGATAAAATGACTCTAAAGGTTCTGTACACCGATGATTCCACAGTCATCTGACATAAGAGTGGACAACCAGGTATCAGACACTACCAATTACCCTAATATAAAGAAAATGATTTAAAGATCAACAATGAGGCCTCACACTCAGCTGGGATTTATTACTGTTGGTCACACCGATGAGACAGGACTCAAAGCTTCATTGGCCAGACCTCAGTGAGGCTTATGCCCATCTGGCTTCCTAATAATGCCTGACCACAGGAGAAGCAAATTACTATCAGAGGTTTCCATTCAGAAATAAGTCATGATTTTCACTACCCAGCTTCTATGTCTCCAAAGGTCACTTTACCTGATACTACTCTTATTTAGCATCTTTAAGGCAATTTGAAAGTCATTCATGATACTTCTATTTAATAATTTCATCCTGCTTTCATATTTATCATATGGTTTGTTTTCATAATACTCATCCTACGCCACCCTCCAGAAGACGCTATGCTGACCCCAGAAGCAGGAAGACCAAGACCCTGAAAGCCTATATGCTCTCTGCCAGTCTGTGACCATCCTTCTAGGTTATGCAGCCAATATGTGGCTGGTTTCTCTCCCCATGTTTTAGTTCAGAAGAATATAGAAAGGAATTATGTATTTGTTTTTACCCTTTCCTATGTGTCTCCTGGTGTTTTCTATTGTTGAGTTTCTGTTTACGTTAGAAAGAAGTCCAAGGCAGAATCTGTTCCTGTTATTTGAAGGGTCTGTGAATCCATCTATAAGCACGCTTCGGGAGGATGCCTGGAACGTCTCCCCAACTCGGTTGTTCAGTTCATAGTAGGCAACCGAGCACCAGTGCTGAGGTTCCTCATAGCAAACTGGTCGAAAGTCTGAAAGAAAGAGAGCCAAATAGCACATCAGTACCATCATGCGGGGCTTCCCATCTCACGATCCCACCTGGATGCTTATATTAATGCTGTTAACCAGACAAGGATACTCTCTGTGATCTTTTCAAACCTGTCACTTGATGGAAGCTATGTGCAGTTAGCTCATCTGGTTAACACACTTGTGGCATACACATGAGGCATAGAGGCCACGGTGCTGTGACTCTGCCATGCTTAGAGCATTTGTGATCATACTTAGTATTGAGGGGGTCTGACAAACAATGATATGAACAGATCAGCATAGATTCCATCACCCCTAAAGGAGACAGCTCCAAGGAAGGTCATCTTCCTCTCTACATGTGAAAGATGGCATATTACCGTCACTGTACCAAACAGGAATCCCTGTGACAAGAGTATGTACCATTTTCTAACAAACTAAGGATGAAAAGTAAAAGTTTATGTATGATAAAAGCCAAATCAAAAGCACTGGGTAGGACTTTAAATTATTAAACAAAGGGAAAAACTTCTATGTAGACTCCCATTCTCCACTCTATACATATGGAGTATGTATGTGGCATAAAACATTTTTCAAGACAGCTGTATCTGCCATTAGGAAATCCTAATGGATTTCCATTTCCTAATGGAAATCCTAATTTTCACCTCGATTTTTCAAAGCTAAAGTAAGTTGCCAGTTACCAACCAAAGTTCAGAATTCTTTCTTTGCCATGCACACTCTTTCTCTTTTTATTGATTATATTAACTCTCTTTTCTTTGAATATCCTAGTAATTCTTATATCTAGAGTGTGTTCCTATGTGCACTAAAACAGAAACTTGTGAAACATAAATTAGAGGGTTATCATTTGATTTACAAAAGGAACTTTACTTATAAAAGACTTCACCCTGGCAGACTTTAAATCATAAGTTCCGTTAGACCCTCTCTATTCAATGTGGTTCCTGGAAGGGTAGCCCCTGCATCACCTGGAAGCTTGTGAGGAATGCAGATTCTTGGATCCCACCCTAGATCCAAGGAATCAAAATCTACATTTACATAAGATCGCCTTGCGGTGTATGTGAACGTTAAAACTGAGCAGTATTTATTTATTTAGCCTATTTAAAGAAACAGGTAAAATTCTGTAGAAACCCTACTTATATATTTACATATATTTCTAAGAGCACCCCTCTAAGGTAAATCAAAGACAGCACCACAAAACTATAGTATAAACACAACTGGACAAAATTTCTAACTTAAATACCTATTTCTGTACTAGACATCAAGAACTACAAGTATCTAAACATTGAGGCTGAAATTAAAAAATAACTTATTCTAGTAACCAGGATGATAAACATTCACTCTATGGTGCTGAGGAATGCCAAAGTTAAAATGCAAAGCCATGCTATGTGCCCCTTCAAACACATGTGAAATAGCAGGCTGGCTACCTTTTGTTTTATTTTTTTAATATGTTTTGTTTGGGGTAATGGGAGATGCACTTCAAAAGCTGCTACACTGAGCTAGCTGTTCATCTACAAATTTACCTCTTTTAGGCACTGACAGCACTAAATGACTATCAGTTGTGGCATCTACTGGCTGGCCATTCTGGGTCCCTGGGGCTCCTGTGGCATGTTAAGGTAGGGGTGGTGTGTCAACTAAAAGAAAGCAGTAAAACAGAGGCATGTCAAACTGATAAACTACACAAAGAGAGTCAGATTCAACTTTTCTTGCTGTGAAACTGCTGGGTTGGGTGGATAGTGTTATTGTTCAAGAGAGGCCTGTAATGTAATAAGGCTATTCTGCAGTGACTTTGTGAGTGTCACACAGAAGAAACTGGTTGTCCTGACATCCTCACTCAATGGTTGATTAGTTTTTCCCTCTGACTTATGAGTTATCTAAGTTCCAATGACCTGCATGATAAGATTTTCAAATCGAGGAGCTATTCTAGCTTTCTCAACAGCACAGGCGTCTGTTGTCTGGCTTTCAAAACAGAAAGCTAAATCTTCTTTGAAGTCAGCTTAATTTTTTGATTCCTCTATTGCTATGGATTGTACAATGGCCACAGAGATGCTCTGTCTCTGAGATGTTCTAAATATGCCCCCAAAATGCCTTGATTATAACCTTGTGCCCAAGGTATACGAAGGGCTCCTCTCCCCAAATCTCAGTTCCTGTAATTGGACAGTGATCATGGTTAGGCACATGCTGTGCATTCTGTAGATAATATCTTATCAGAAAGCAATTCACAACACAATAAAAACTCCCACAGCAGAGGAAAAACTCTTGAGTGAGAGTCTCAGAATAGCTGATTCCTCTTGTATCCGTTCCTAAATGTCAGTTCAGAATAGTCTTGTTAACGTTAGTGGTGGATGGAGTTCAGTGGCATGGAAAGTTGAATTGGTATAACTTTGTTGAATTGAATTTTATCCATTCAAGTAGTTCCCACACTTAAGTGTGCATAAAAGTCACCAGTGAAACTTGTTAAAGATGCAGATTCCTGGTCCCACCCCTCAGAGAGTGTGAGCCTGGAGATCAGTGGTTAGATGTAGTCACATACATTTAACAGGCACTGCTGTCAATTCTAATGCACACCACTTTGTACAACCATGGATAAGGCATTTCCTCCTGAGAAAATAAATTATGACCTTGGTGGAAAAGTTATAAAGCAAGGTCGCTTTTCTGCAGGTCCTTGAGTAAGTCAATCTATAAAATTCAGGGGTTGAACCATAACACCATATCTACTCCTAGGCATATGCCCAAAGGAGCTGAAAGCAGGGACTCAAGTAGATGCTTGCAAGCCAGTGTTTATAGCAGAATTATCCACATTAGCCAAACGGTGGAGGGAAAAAACCCAAATATCCATCAACCAATGAATGGATTGTTTTTAAATGTGGTATACCCATACAGTGGAATATTGTTCAGTCACAAAATTGAAGTAACTGACACGGGCTTCCACATAGTTGAACTATGAAAACACTATCCTAACTGAAATAAGCCAGACACAAAAGGACATATATTATGATTCCACTTCTTTGAGGTACCTAGAATAAACTAATTCATAGAGACCATAAGTGGATTGGAGGTTATCAGGGCTGGAACAAGCGGGAGGGAAAGAATCAGGAGCTACTGCCTAATGGGTAGAGTTCTGGTTAGGATGAAAAAATTTTGGAAATAGATGGTGGGGATGGTTGCACAGAACTGTGAATATGCTTAATGCCACTGGATTGTACACTTAAACATGGTCAAAATGGTAAATTTTACCTATCTTCCCACAACTTTAAAAGGTCAACATATGAAAAATCACTACATTGCACACTTTCACTGTGTGAACTGTATGATTTGTCAATTATATCTCAATAAAGCTGGTAAAAAAAATTAAGGGGCTGAACCAGTTAATTTCAAAATCTCCTATTAGTCTCACCTATCTATGGGTCTGTTACTCAGGTTGCATTTTGCTGTTAATCATTCAGAAAAGAATTAATTTTCTTTGAAATTAAAAGAGCCATTCCCTCAATGAAAATGAACCAGCTTCTGCATAAGATATTGAGTATACTTCCTCAAATTCTTTGTCTTCTTTGCCCATCTGCACATCCCTTCCTTAGTTCACTCCTTATCATTACTTGCCCGGACTGTGACAGCCTCGTTGCTTTTTTGCATGATTGTTCTCAACAGTTATTACCTCTTGAGGGTCAGAGGCTATTGTCAGAATGAATCATCACTGTACCCCTAGCAGTAGCACACTGCCTGGTGCTTCATCAGGGTTCAATCATTACTTATGGACTCAATCGAATCTGTATCTATAACCCTGCGTTCCAAATGCCCGTGTGGTGATTCATTTACTCTGCAATCACCTAATAACTAACTACTGTGTTTTAGGGTCTGCACTACACAAATAAAAGATGACTGGCAGTTGAATGGGGGAAATACATAATGAGGAATAATATCATGTAGTGTGATAAATGCAATAGCAGATGTGTATGGAAACAGGAGCTGTTATTGCTGAGGCAGCAAAAGGAAGACCTGAATAAATTAGAAAGGAAGGGGCAACTCCTATCTTCCCACATTTTATAAGGTCTGTGAGGACAGGGGCAACTTTTACTAATCTTTTAAGCCTCCTTTCAGCTGCCTAAGGCAGTACTTGAATGTGATAAAAGTTCCATAAATATCTGTTAAATAAAAGAATATATGAACACATGAATGAAGCAGATTATAATGTCTAGCACCAAATGGGTTTATGCATGCCTTCAAGAAATTGTCACTCAGGATATAATTTATTTCACACTCACGAGGTGCATATAAATCTCTTCTTCATCATCTAACTTAGACCTACTTTATAAGCATGGCAGCCCGTGCAATTACGACGATGTCCTTAATCTCCCTTTTGCACAGGATATTCCTCCCATAGGCTTTCTCATTCAGCACACGTTTACTGAATAGCTCTGTCTTCAAGATGCTGTGCTGGCTTCACACAACGCAAAAGGAGAATGCAATGACTAGGTGAGGCCTGCTCCTGCCCCAGTGAAGCTATGCATACTTCTTTTGGAGGCAGGGACTCCCTGTTTTTACTGAAAGAGACAGCCAAAGAAAAGGCCAAGTACAGACCCCTGGACCCCTCACGTTGCTCGCCCTTAGGCCAAGTCTTCCTGCTTGGGGTTAAAAGAAGCATTTTATAATCTTATTTCTGCTATCTTAAAAAAAAAAAATTCCTGGAAATTCCCAGAGATGTTCAAATCCATTTAGTTTCTTCCAGAGGATTAGAACCAGAAACCACATCAAAGATATGTTGTACCTCCAGAAAAACTGTTCCCAGATGGCCCCGATCTTAGAGGTGGCAGGGTCCAAAAGCCCACAGGACCTTGCCATATAAACTGTAAAGTTCCACGTGAATGCTAGTAACAGGGATTGTAATTATTATGGTTCCACCATAAATATTTGAGATGGGTCATATGCCACGGAGACAGACAGTGAGCTTTTACTGACCTGAGTGTTGATAAGGGCTCTCTGGCTCGGAGGGGCTTCCTGGGGAGTGAGGGTAGACAGCAGTGCATGGGGACTGTGAGAACACGTGCCCGGGCCCTGGCGAGGGAGGGAACGCACTGCACGGAGGCTGCTGGAAAGAGTCGGGATAGGTGGCGTTGTGCGGCATGAGAGGCTCACTGTGGAGGGAGGTGCTGCGGAACTTGGCTAGCAGGCTGAGCTGGGGGTTATATTCACTGTGTCTTGGCACGAGTACAGGCGGCAGCACTAGGATGAGAAAGGAACCAGTGGATTAGAACTGAACATTGGCTCGTTGGCACAAAATCTGGCAGACGCTTGCTATTTGTGTCTGTCCATTTTTTGATAATAAAACCCTGATTTCTGGGAACTACCCATCCACCATTCTTTGTGCTTATTGTAAAATTGTCAATTAAGGTCCCATCGTTTCCCAGAAAGTGATTTTGGGAAGCGAGCTAAACACCAATGTTTAACATTTAAACACTCTTTTTGCAAACTGCATATTAAACAGGGTATCGAAGAGAAAAGTTTAGAGGAGAACCATTCCACTGTCAGCACTCTAAAGAGACTGCCTATTCAATCTTACCACAGAAATGACCAGAGCTGCCCTATTATCTGGCTTTCTGCAGACCTAATTGTGTCTTCCTTTGATTCTGCCAATAAAGCGGTTTGTATTTTTTATAAAGGCAAAATCGGTTTCTAAGTGATGCCCAAAATATTTTTCTTTTACAGACCATGTTGAATTATTCAGACGGCCAACCTAGATTTTGGGCTCAGTAGTGCTGCTAGAGTTCAAAACAAACAAACAAACAAACAAACAAACAAACAAATTTGTCTTTACCAGAAAGATTTAAAGGTACCTAAAAATGTTAAGTAAAAGAAAAACAGAGTAATAAAAAATAAGTAAAAGATAAGCAGTAATAAAAAAACATAAATAGGGGGTCCCTGGGTGGCTCAGTGGTTTGACGCCTGCCTTTGGCTCAGGGCATGATCCTGGAGTCCCAGGATCAAGTCCCGCATCGGGCTCCCTGCATGGAGCCTGCTTCTCCCTCTGCTGTGTCTCTGCCCCTCCTCTCTCTGCATCTCTCATGAATAAATAAATAATCTTAAAAAAAAAAAGAAAAAGAAAACATAAATAAAGCCTACACTATGTAGTGTTTTTTTTTTTTTAAATCATAATTCTATACAAAAAGTCAACAATGGATGCAATTCTCAAGGGCAAGTGTTATCCAGCCATTCCTAGTTCCTATTGACTTCTAAAGTGTCACAGTGCCTGGCAGAAAGAAGATACTCAATAAATGTTGTTATGGTATAACCTGTGACCAATGTATTCTAGAAAGAGGAGCAGGGAAAACAGAGAGAGGAGGTAGTCAAAGGCAATTGCAAAGCTCTTCTAAGGGAAAATAATTCTTACCCCCAGCTCCCACAATAGAAACCAACAAGAGCCAAAAAATAACATAAACTGTAAACTAAAATATAGTTATCAGAGATTTAAAAAGAAGAAAGAAGTTAATATAAATTAGCTAAATTCTCATCTTTTTTATTAGTAAAATTATCTAAAGGTGCAAAGTCTGGAAACAGATATGTAAGGCATATTATATGTAGGGTTATCTCCAAAATTTTTAGCAATTAATGTATAAACATTGTCTAGGTATGTAAGTGTATTACTTAGAGTTATTTCCATAATTTTTAGTAATAATGGAGGGAACAAGGAAAGGAACTAACCAAGAATGATTAAAAGAGGCTGTTCTTAATTATACTACTGATGTGTTACCACACGCAAGTATTGATGAAAACTTTCATAAAAAGTAAATGCTGGGGATCCCTGGGTGGCTCAGTGGTTTAGCACCTGCCTTCATGCCCAGGGTGTGATCCTGGAGACCCGGAATTGAGTCCCGCATCAGGCTCCCTGCATGGAGCCTGCTGCTCCCTCTGCCTGTGTCTCTGCCTGTCTCTCTCTCTCTGTCTCTCATGAATAAATAAATAGAATCTTTTAAAAAAAAAAGTAAACGTTTTGGAATAAACAGACAAAAACAGTAATAAAATAACAGTAACATCAATCACAAAGTCTACCACCTTCATGTCTCTCTTAATAAGCAACAGTTTTTTGTTCTGTTCTTCTTTATTTTCTACCTTTCTTAAGGTAGAAAACATCCAAACATTTAAATGAAAAGTTTTAAACTAAACTACCACAGTTGAGGGCAAAGAAACAAATTATTTCTTCACCCTTTATTTTTAAGAATATTTTATTTATTTATTTATGGGACTCAATCCCAGGACCCCAGGGTCATGACCTGAGCTGAAGGCAGACGCTCAACCACTGAGCCACCCAGGTGTCCCTTCTTCCCCCTTTAAAAGCCAGTATGTGCATATACACGTGTAATGAATGACATTACAGAACACTCAACATCATCATGCAAAAATGAGCTGGATGATAAGCCATTAAATTTCCTTTTATGTGTTCCATGAATATGCAGCATTAAAAGGATGACTCTCTCTGTGGATAGTCTGAAAGTGAAGGCCTAGCAGAGTAAATGGTATATGGTTTCTTTTGCAATGATGCTTCATCACAATGCTAACAAGTTTCAAATAAACATTCATTTTTCTTTTCTGGGTGATGAAGAATTGGAATAATCTCTGTGATTTCAGTTGTAATGTAAAATACCTACAATGTATTCCTAACATTAATAAACATAAAGCCTCACACTGAGTGCAGACTTCTGTTTCTTTATGGGCTGAAGATCTGAGACACCAAAAGAAAGAAAAAGGGTTTGTTTTCTTTCCTTGAAACAAATGTCTTGGTAATGTATTTTTACCATCCATGTAAAACCAAAGGCAGTGATTTTTGTACAGAAAACCGATGGTGTCATCCTGGTTATTACTCAGCTTGACTGGCTAGTTTACCTTACATTTACACTGATCATATTTTTAAATACTTCCACTCAAAACATAGCTGTCCTAGTCCATTTGGGCTGTTTAACAGAAATACCATAGAGCGGGTGCTTTATAAACAATAGAAATTTCTTTCTCCCAGTTCCAGGGGCTGGAAAGTCCAAGATTGGGGTGCAGCATGGTCAGATTCTGGGGAAAGCCCCCTTTCAGGCTTCAGATTCCAATTTTTCATGTCCTCATGTGGTGGAAACGGATGAGGGATCTCTCTGCAGCCTCTTTTAGGAGGGCACTAACCCCATTCATAAGGGTCTGTCCTCATGACTGAATCACCTCCTAAAGCCTTCACCTCCTAGTACCATCACCTTAAACATTAGGTTTTCACAAGTAAATTTGGAGGAGAGGGCATAAAACGTTTGACCCATAGCAATAGCTATCCCTAATTACTAAATTCTATTTCTAGTTCAAAATTACTGCTTACCAATAGAACATAGTGAGATTACAGACATTGGTTTTGATTTTATGCCACCTTCTAAATACAACACTATCTTAACAACAAAGTATTATATGGGTGAGAACAGTAGCAGGAGTTACTGCCCATATGGGGTGCAACTTAGAGCTGAAAAGCTTTTGTATCTCTTTCAAAAGTCATGTGGTTTTGAAATATAGGTATTTTATGTAAAGAAGAAGTTATACTTCATTTTGAAATAAGCTCTATTTGCTTGGAGTAAAATCAGCATATGCTGTGAAAACACTTTTTGCATAGAAGCTAGGCCAAAGCCATTCAAAGTGAGATTCCAGGACTGGTAACACTTTATCAGCTGCTGGGTACCAGTCAAGGAAGAAATTGAAATTGAGAGTAAACGTTTAGAAACTTTAATAGCAATTTGACAGAGTAATTGTATTCTGTTGAAATGCAGATATTGTTAAAGTAAAAACAACAGCAACAAACTGGGCTTGCATTTGTTAAGTATTTTTAAAATTTCAATTGCTAGTAATCATTTGTATTACAAAAGTATTGATATTTGAAGGACTGGAAATTTAAGAATGAAAACTGGTCCTACAGAGAGTTAGAAAAGAACTTAAATAGATAACTTAAGTGGTTGTGTGAGTAAAAATAAAATCAGAGTGCAGCCTTCAATGTTCCTAAAATGGGGGTAGGAATGTCAGAAAAATAGATTTCAAATGCAAAACTTAAGCTTTATGAAAACTAGGAACTCAGTAAACTTGCTTAACATTCTCATCCTCAGTGTTTTCAAAACATTTACTTTAAACATGGCCAGAAAGTTAAATATAAATTTACCTTTCCTGACAAAAAAATCAAAGTTAGGAATAAAAAATCCTGGGGTAGCCTATTACCTTAAAATTAATACAATCTCCACCCATCTTTCATTTCAGAAACTCAATAAAACATAATGATATGAAATCTATTGGCCATATGTAAAAATATTCACATTATCATTTCTAAAAAAAACCTTATATAAACTAAAATACCAAATAAACCTTTAAAATTATGTTTTCTAGGGGCCCCTGGGTGGTGCAGTCAGTTAAGCGTCTGACTCTTGCTTTCAGCTCAGGTCATGATCTCGGGGTCATGAGATCAAGCCCCATGTTGGGCTCTGCGCTCAGCCTAGAATCTGCTTGAGATCCTCTCTCCTGTGCCCCTCCTCCACTCGTTCTCATGCTCTCTCTCTCAAATAAGTCTTTTAAAAAATTAGAAAATAAAATTAGGTTTTCTAGTATTCATAAAGAAAACCAGAGACAATTAACAAAATATTTGCAATGTACATTCCTCAGGAAGAGATAAATTATTTCTTAATGAACACTTTTTTCACTGGGGTACATTGTAAATGCTTAATATTCAAATTTTTGAAACAAAAAGATGTCAAGTCATTGTCATAAACTCAGACCTGAATGACTTTTTTTTTAGTATGCAGAGAGAGCCCAGAGAGAAGCAGGAAAGAAAGGAAGAAAGCTAAGACCTATACAATCTAGTGAAAACACATCTTTTATCTGTTCCAATGGATTGACAATTTGTCCTGCTTTCAACTGCCTAGCTTGGCCTGTAAGAGGCATCTCTTTGCATGTACTTAAGACACAGAACTTCATTCACATAGTCCTGTAAGATGGTCTGCAAAAAAATTTGTGAAAATGCATCATCCCGCTGACAAAAAAATCATTCCACTAATGTCCCTTTGCTCCCCACCTATCAAATTTTGTGCCTTGCTACATACACAACAAATTTTTGCTTTCATGCTGGGGAAAAAAAAAAACAAACCCAAGACCTTTCCAGGACTTTCTCAACAGTCTAATACAGGGACTCAATCCTGGGATGAAGTGACCATGAGAAGCATCCATACCCAGGCAGTGTTACAAGAGCAAGATTTGGGAGCCTGAAAGGTCACCTCCCTAAGATCACAGGCAGCTGGGAATGACTTCTCCAGTACTGCTGTTAGGTTAAGTGAACCCCGGAGCCAGGCAGCCGGCTGGACTCCCACCATGGCCTGCCTGCTTGACAGAGCCATCTCTTCATGGACACAGGCCATCTCCCAGAGCTCATGTGCCAGCCTCTGGTCTCCTGGAATGAGGCAGATGGCCAAATAGGGAGACAATGCTCCTATTAGAACTGTATCCGTGTAGCTAGCGAGTGGGGAACACTCAATCCAAAGAGAAATGTCCTCAAACCGTTACAGCCAGTGTGAAGGCCAAAAGTAAACACCAGACTTCAAAAAGGGGGTGAAATGTGTGTCCGCACACACACACACGGGCCTGTAAAGAGTTACAGAACCATACTTTCTTATATTTAAAGCCAATTTAAGAACGATTGCCAATCTCACCTAACCCCTGTTGCTTTCATTCCTAGGAGGATTTCCAGCAGTTCTTTCACTGTTCAGCCCCAGATATGAGATACTTCCCGTACCTGAGCCTGGGAAATGACAGCAAAAACCTTCTTTAGCTTACTTCGGTTTCAGTGAGGGAGAGGGGATGGGAAGGAGGATGCTCCTTTTTTACAGTTAATCATTTCAAGGCCATATTAAGACCTTCAAAGATCCTAAGAACTGGAAAGACCATGACAATAGTAACTCCAAAATACATCAAAGCATCATTTTTTCAAAATCACACAAAACTTCCAGGTATACCGAAAGTAATTTCTTTCTAGATTTTTCTGACTACAAAAGTTTGGATTACTACCTCAAAACTGCACCCTCGTCTCTTCCTTTTCTTTTGGTGGTGGTGAGCAGAAGGGGTCTTTGTCTTGCTGATGCTCCCTCAGTCATCAACTGGGACTTAGCTCCTTAACTTTTAAAATAAACCATGATACAGGGAAGAAAACTCACCTGGAGTCTCCACCCGCCGGTAGTGATAGGGGTTAATGCACACCTCTTTCTGCTTGGAGCCAAAAGGGAACTCACAGCATTCCAGTGGCTTCAGCTCATGGTGAGACTGGAGATCAGGCCAGCGCCACACTCGGCAGTAAATGACATGGGGCAAACCCTTGCGGTGGGACACCTGAAGCCGCCCGTCCAGGGACCGGGGAATTGTCACACATTTACTGGGCTGCCCGGGACAGCTGAGGGCCCTCTCCAGTTCATCCATGGCTCCTTTCTTTTTCTTTAACTTCTTCACTAAAGAGTCTACCGCCTTCTCTGCCCACTTTTCCTCTTCATCTCCCTGCTTCCAGCCTAGCAGTCTCTTCACTGCTGGGCTGGTGAAGGAGAAGAGGGAGCTGATGGGGGTGCTGGAGTGCATAAGAGGTGCACTGTGGGCGTCCAGGGCAAACACAAACTGGACAGACAGCCCTTTAGGGGCACCGGGGCCTGCAGGAGGTACAAGGCAAGTAATTCTGCAGGGATGTCATAGGTACAAGCTCTCTAGGGATGTCACAGGTACAAACTCTCCAGGGATGTCACAGGTACAAACTCTCCAGGGATGTCACAGGTACAAGCTCTCCAGGGATGTCACAGGTACAAACTCTCCAGGGATGTCACAGGTACAAACTCTCCAGGGATATCACAGGTCTTCCTTTTCTTCTGGAAGTAACTGACCGATTCAGGTTGGGTACTGTGTCAACTTTCTCCGAGGCCCTAGAATGGGCTGGCCAACTCTGAAAACAACAAGACAAAACTCTAATCAGCTTCATCAGGATAATTTTCAGAAAGAATGAAAGGTTGGATATGAGGGAGAAAAGACTTCAAATGGTTCAGACTTGAAAACTCTTGGTCGTCTTTGGCTCTTCCTTCTCTGCTATGCCCCTTACCCAAGTCTTGGTAATTCTACCTTTAAATGTCTTTCAGATTTTGAAACTTCCTCTCTGTTCCCACCAATATCTGAGGCCTAGCCCACCTCACCATGCCCCAGATTACTGCAACAACCTCTGAAGTAGCTCTTCTCTTCTAATTCTAATCCACTTACTCCCAAATACAATTTTTAATGAATCATTTTACTATTTGAGAAATTTCAGTGGCTCCTTAATTTTCCAACTATAAACTTCTCTGCCTGGATTTTGAGAGCCCTATAATCTTTCCTCAACATGCTCATGCTTCTTCCTTTTTCAATTATAGTTTTTGCAAGTAATCCATCTTCACTGTTGGAAAAACATATAAATGGAATGGGAAAAAATTAGAAGAACACTAATCATCTCACAACTCATGTATATTCTTCTGAACTATTTTATAGTACACTGGTTTTCAAAGGACCAGAGTTCCCATTGGGGGCCTCAAGGTCTTTTCCAACTACATATCTGTGTGTGCTAGATTTTCTTCATGTGTTTCAACTTAAAAAAAATATATCACAACAGATTATATGCAAAAACAGGTATGACAATCCAAGTATCTTCTATTAACCAGGCATTAAAGGAGGTTTGCAGAGACGTAAAACAATAATAGTCTTTTCAGTAATTTTAAAATAATTTTTGTTACCATATAATGGGTTTATCATTCTCTTTTAATGTGTCAATAAATATATTTTTTAAAGATTATTTATTTATTCATGAGAGATACAGAGAGGGGCAGAAATACAGGCATAAGGAGAAGCAGGCTCCCTGTGGGGAGCTCGATATGGGGACTCGATCCCAGGACCCTAGGATCATGATCTGAGCCAAAGGCAGATAGATGCTCAACCACTGAGCCACCCAGGTGCCCCATGAATCAACAAATATTTTTAAGTTTCTCAGTCTTAATTCCCAATGTGGCAAAGATTGATAGATATAAGCCACATAAATGAAGGTTCTTTGGAGTTCTTAATAATTCTTATGAGTAGAAAGGAGTAATAAGACCAGAAAGTCTGAGAACTGTTTTTTGAAAAGTTACACATAGTCATGGTACATAAACGTGTACACCAAAAGGTACTGCTGTCACATTTGTTATTGCCTGAAAATCAGGGGACTTCTTCTTTGCCCTATTATCCAAAGGAGACACTCTTTCCCAGTTATTCAACAGTCCCATTTAAATTTCCTGAGGTAGAACCAAACTTCCTCCTCTGTGAAAGAGTTGGCTTAAATAAAATTCTTTTCTTCTTCCAGATTTCAGAAACCAGCTACCTTATTAACGTTTAAAGTGTCTGTTGGTAACATTGTGGAGCAAGTGAACTCATTTTAGTATTTTAGAATCAATCTAGCTCAAAATCTCCAACAAGTGCTTGTATAGTATGCATTAAAAATCATTTTCTCCTCTACTTCTCTGGAGAGAAAGTTGCACCTTTCCGAGTACAATTATATAAACTTCTCCCAATAAAGGTGCTACATAACCCCCTGCTGTCGTGATAGTTGTTAGGCACCCCCGATGAGAAGGATGTCAGCCTGGTTACACAGAAATTGATGAATTTAATAAATATAAAGCAACACTTTTATCACTTTATTCTTTGTACAGACTTTATTTAGCATCCCAGAGAGAGGTAAACTGATGGAAAGGAGACTTGAGGGCTTGATAGCTGGGTTTTTTTGCCCTTGGCAGTTTGACTTATACTCAGTTTTATTTTGAAAAGGAAAGGTTGATTTTGTGGCTTAACGATCATGAATTTATAGTTAAGTTACTGTGTTCAAGTTCTGTTTATTTAATCAAGACAGGCTGCTTTAAAGCAATGAAGAGGATTAGAAGCTTTAAAGAGAACATGACGCAGAATAACCTGGACCCCCAAAGAGCTTTGAATTCTGCTTAGTTTTACATAGGACTTCTATAAGTAAATTGTGACATGAATATTTGTTTAGGTCAAGGATAGACAAAAGCTTTTTATAAAATGTTCAGCAGAGTTAAGCCAAATATACCCTTTAAAAAAACATTTGCTCCATGAAATAGTAACACGTTCTCTAAACCAGAGTTCGTTGTTGTTGTTTTAAACTATGGGTTCCTATGTACTAACGCATGTGAAATCAATGTATTCAAACAAAATAGTTTTGTAAAAATAACAAGACAGACTATATTGTGGTGCAGCACACAAAGAAAGAGCATTATTTCATTAAAACCTTCATTCAGAAGTATGTGCTCTGTGTGTGTAGATGTACATGTGCATATGCAGAGGGTCACCATGCAATTTGCAATGCACAGTGAAATGCAATTTGGTGTTGCGTGTTACAATCAAGAAAGCTTAAAAAAAAAAGAAAGCTTGAAAAGCACCACCCTTAAACCAGAGACCTTCAAACCATGTCTGTTCGAGGTTCACCTTGATGAGTGACTTTCTAGGCCACTATCTCTCCTCATCCCTTGGGGCAACACCGACTAGTCAAGAACATAAGGTCTGAGGAACCCTGGCTCGGTAGTCTGATCTCACTGCCACATTCTGAATCTTTGTAACAGTCTCATGGTGCCTCCAAAACTATGCTTTTATTGATACAAGACCCAGCATCTGTTGCATTACACAGAGGACCTGGCATGGAGGAGGACCCCAAAGACTCAAATTTAGAATCTCAGGATATTTAACACCAAATTTGTAATAAAAGCCTCTGGGGTAGGGAAAAAAGAGGACAGAAAATATCAAAAAGTCAAGGTTTATTAAAGCTGCCTGGTGGGTACCCAGATGTTCAAATAATATTCTCTACACTTGCTCCTCTGTTTGATATATTTTTTTACAGAAAAAGTAAAAGTGAATCAGACTTGGACTCTCACTAACACTAAGGCTTCAGTTCCTCTTTGTCCATGGTTCCACTTAAAGCTCATTAAGGCTATTCCATTCTCACTCATATAAAGTTTTTGTCACTAACAGAACAAAGAGCCCCTTGTTTATTTCCAGCTGGCCATCACACTGACATCAACAGTGGAGCCACCCTACCCCCCACCTCATGCAAGCTTGTTCAGGAGTGTCAACCTGGCTCAGAACAGCTTTCCACTGTCAGATAATTTAGATGCCCACAGACTATCTGCTCAAACTTACCACGACCTCCTGAAACCACCACTGCGCCGGCTCACCATAATAATTAAAAGAGAGCACTCCCAGGGAGGCTATTAAAAAACTGTTCTACAAATAGAAGGGAGGGTTGTTAATACTGCTTATAGTTACTATAGTTCCTGTAAGGTACAAAAAAGAATAAAACAAAATAGACTATAAAGATGAATGTATGTGAAGGATTTATAAACAAAAATCTGACCAGATAATTTCTGCAAATCTAACAAGAGCTATGGCAGAGAGATGCCAGAGGTGGTTACAAGAGTCCTTGGTCCTACACTGGGGTTCTGGAAGGATTTTGGAAATGATAATTGAGCTGCACTTAGGATTTAGCTCACAGTTAAAAAAAATAAGCTAACTTGGCAGATTAGGATAATTTTTTCCTAATTCTTTTTTTTTAAAGATTTTATTAATTTATTCATGAGAGACACAGAGAGAGAGGCAGAGGGAGAAGCAGGCTCCATGCAGGGAGCCTGACGTGGGATTCGAGCCCGGGTCTCCAGGATCACACCCTGGGCTGAAGGCAGCGCTAAACCGCTGAGCCACCCAGGCTGCCCCTCCTAATTCTTTTTGTGGTTAGATTCTCACTTTCCTAAAAAATCTGTCTGTCCCTTGTCACAAACCAACTCTGTAGTTTCTCTGGGCCACCTCATTTCCTCATCTGCAGATGAAGGAGGTGGGGCTCATCCTCGCAGTAAGGGTCTGTCTGGGCAATGGTTCCATGACTCCATGATTATTGGCTGTACCTGCCACATGGGACTGTATAACTCATTCTACTATTAACACTTTGTTATCCCTCCCTGCACCCACTTCAGGATAGTCCAGTCTGAGACTGAACTGAAACCTTCACTCATGGAACTATATTGCATACAGCAGGGCAAAACAAGAGTTTTTTTCCCCACAGTTGTTAAATTAACCCTTTTTATAGCAAATCTCACCTACCAACACAACATGATCTTTACTCTTCTTTCCAGAATTTTGTTTCTTTCTAGCATTGTTTTTTTATTACCACTAAGGAATAAGAGTGAAAATGTATGCTTGGCATTACTGTGTTTGGCATCACTTGTTGCACCTCCATCAAGGCCTTTATCACACCAGATCTCCACAAATGCCATCTGTTGGCCATGAGAGCTTTCCTTCTGTGGGCGGATGGATAAAAGCACCATGCCCATCCCTCATCTGGTTACTCATGGTCCACTTCATGCACAGCATGAAAGAGTACTTTCTTTTTCAGGCATATGAGTTTTACCCAACTGAGGGAGCAAAAAACTCATTTTCAAGTGTTTAAAATAAACAGGACCACTTAAAAGAAGAGCAGCACTGAACACACGCACACACCATGAGATTTAATGGTACATAATTCTAGAATCCAATTTGTCAGGCTGGGTAAAAATTTGGGAGATGTGAACCTTTCATTTTTAAGTTGTCAGTTTAAATCAAACTCCTGTTAGCAGTTACTCAAGGTTATTTTTACTTACTGCCTCCTTGGAAGATTCAATTGGTGATTTTAATTCTGAAGAAACAAAAATTCAAGAAATTACCATTTAAGAAGAATATGTTGGCTATCTGCCCTGGAGCATGCCTAAACTCTGCATACACAAAGAACCTCTGAATAATCCTGCATGGGCACTGCTTCTTGGTCAGTGTCACCAAGAAAAGTCTACATCATCTATCAGGCCGTATGCCATAGTCAACCCAGGGGATCAGGAGGCAATCGTCTATTCTGCA